CAGACATCATATAATTTTATTTGCAAATATTTCAGTATGTGTTTCTAAAAGCACTCCTTTTTATAACAACTACAATGCCACTATCACACCTGGAAATGAATTCAGCATCTTTAATATCATCAAACATCCAGGCAGAATTTAAATTTCTAATTTTTTTCATCTTTTTAAAAATGTGCTTTCTGGACTCAGGTTATAAGTAAGGTTCACATCTTGAACTTAGTTAATAGTCTTTTAAGTCTTTTTAGCTATAGATTGACCCTCTATTTTTTTCTTTTTGTTTCATACATTTGTAAAGGTAACACTACTTTTTTTTTTTTTAACAGTTATATCCCTAAATCTTAGTCCAGTCCTGGTCATGGTATTTATTTTAATAAGTATAATGTTTGATGAGTTACTTGGTTGGATAAAAATGAGGTGCATGAATGAGAAATCCTGGAGAAGAGATACCTAAAGAAATAAAACTTAATAGCAGCCTTTGATTTCTCTGACCTCATATTTCTGTAGTCTCCTCTGAATGTTGAAATTTATTTGATACACAACAGATGTGTGATTTTGAGGGAAATAATATCATTCTTTGAAAATCTCTAAGAATTTAATTCACCCTTGAATTCTTTTAATCGTTCATTTTAACCACTTTTGCTGGATAAAAATGGCCATTAGAACAGCAAAATGAGGGGCGCCTGGGTGGCTCAGTTGGTTAAGCAACTGCCTTCGGCTCAGGTCATGATCCTGGAGTCCCAGGATCGAGTCCCGCATCGGACTCCCTGCTCAGCGGGGAATCTGCTTCTCCCTCTGATCCTCCCCCTCTCATGCTCTCTGTCCCCCATTCTCTCTCTCAGATAAATAAATAAAAAATCTTTAAAAAAAAAAAAGAACAGCTAAATGAAGGCAGCCTGAAAAGGGTTTTCATTGTTTAATAAAATTTACCTCTCCTCCTTAAACTGTCATTAGTAGGCCATGCAGCCTCTGTTTTACAGTTGTCGGATGAGAACACTGCAGCCTTTAATGTAATCACATTCCTTGGGAAGGAGTTTATCTTCTTACCAGGTACTGACGCTATAATCAGGGGAAACAAAGCCCAGCAATGACTCAATGTAGAGAATGACGTATTGAAAACAGAGGAATTACTGGAAGAAGGAATTCTCAGTCAATAATGGGGAAAAACTGAAATAAATTTAAACTTAGCTCTTAGTCCATATTGTTAAAAACAAGACAATAGGACCAAAATAGAGTCACTTATGCTAAGCCCCAGGTCACCAAACCAAGACTGAATTAATTACAGTTTTGATCTCTCCCAGAAATGGAATCTTAAACCAATTAGTCAGGAATCACCTGACCAGCACTAGTGTAGAAATCTGCCAGATGGATCCCTGCCATCCCCTAAAGAAAAGTGACCTTGCCCCAACCAGTCCACTTCCTGCTGGTGTAACTTTGTTACTGCTCCCTTGTGGCTATAGAAGCCTTTAATTTTGTACAGCTCCTCAGAGCTCTTTTCTGTCTGTTGCATGGGGTGCTGCTCAATTCATGAATCACTGAATAAAGCCAGAAGACCTCTGAAGTTCACTCAGTTGAATTTTTTTTTAACAGCATTAATGGATGAGCACAAAAATAGAACTGTTTTCCCTGAGATAATATTGACAGTATTTATAAAGTTTATTATTATAAAATATTATAATGTAAGTCTTCCTCTCTCTAGCCACCTCCATTCAGTTCCCAGAGGTAAAACTATTGTTTCTTATATATCCAGCCATTTGCTATTAGAATGCAAATGTGTATATCTATGTATATATCCATATGTGTGTGTACATATATAGGTATACATACACACACACACACATACACACATGGGATCAGAGTAAACTAATTTTTCTTTACCTTATTTTTTTTAACCCATAAATGTAGCTTAGGTATTTTTCCATGGGAACATGTATAGCCTCTTTCTTTTTAATGGTTCCATAGTGTTTCACTGTGTACGGTTGTACCATAATGATTTATTTAACCCATCCCCTTATGATGGCATTTAGATGTTTTTCCTGTTATACACCAGCTCAGGCCATGCTGCACTGGTCATACATACTGTGTATGAATTTATATGTAAGGCAGATCCCTAAAAGTGGGATTTCTGGGCTAAAGAATATTTTACTGTCAATAGATGTTGCCAAGTTGTTCTCTGAAAATATACTAGCTTATGCTACCACCAGTGGTCCACAAGAATGTCTTATTTCCCTTCCCTCTGGCCAACACTGAGCATCCTCAATCTTCCTAATCTTTGCCTGTTTGGAAGATGAAAAATGGTATCCCATTGCTGGCTTTTATTTTGCTTTGTTTACAAGTGTCAAGATGGGAAAGTCTTGGTGACTGATGAAACCATACGCCAATAAGCAGGGTACGAGAACAGAATGTGTCAAGTTGGAATGACCAGTGTGAACCCTGAAAAGAAATCTTGATTGTGGCTGTCCTGAGCAGCCCCAGAAGCAGCCCTTCTACTCATCACCGCCGCTTCTATTACATGCCTCTGGAGCCCATTACATGCCTCTGGAGCCCATATTTTGATCGCTAACATCATTCTCTACTAAGAGGAAACCAAGGCTCCTGAGGATAGTTAATTTAATGTCCTGGAGCAGAAAACAATCAGGAGGCATCCAGAAATGCCTATTTTTTCCTAGGAAGTCATGGTGTTCTCAAGATCTTTGGAGGCAATTCTAAAAAGCCAAAGAGGCCAATTTTAGGGGGTTCCCTATCACCAAGTTGAGCCAACTTGCAAAAAATTATAAAAATTATGATAAATTAGAACTCATTGAATTTTTAAAAGACCATGAGTTTATAATGATGTGCAAAAGGAAAATTTATACAAGGTATAAAAATGATAGTTGTAATACCTAAAAAGGTGAATAGATTCTATTTAGCTTTTGTTAATTGTAGTAAGTAGGATAATGTTTATTATGGAATATATAATTTATTAATAATTATAATGTATCTATTTTTATTAAGTATATCCATTCATGAAGAAGTTAAGTTTCTGTTTCTATTTGTATGGACAGAAAGGGTGAAACCAATGTTCATGAATTTTTTCCAACAGTTCTGAGGAAAAAAAAAACCTGTATCAAGGAAGGGCTAATCAGCAAGTGGGATCTTCCTGGGGGCAGGAGGTAATAGCTGAATAGCATCTCTAGTCACACACAGTAACCATTTAAATGAGAGTCCAGTGGTGTGTTTGAAGATGTGCTTCAAGATGAAAAATTGGACACATGTCCCCCTTAAAGAAAGCTAACTGCACACACTCATTTTCTCATCTTCCAGGTAATATAACATTTAGATGACCCTATAATTATAATGAAGTACTAATAAGACATACATAAATTTCCAATTATACTGACAGACTATGTCAATATATCATTATTAGAGGATAAAAATTAGGTGCAGCCTACAGAACACCTCAATTCTAGTAAAAACACCAAGTTTTCTAAAATTTAAATCTATGCATATGAAATGTATTAAGGATAGTGTGGTAAACTGAATAATGATTTCTGAAGATGTCCACCTCCTAATCCTGCAGAATCTGTGAATTGTACCTTGTATGGCAAAAGGGATTTTGCAGATGGATTAAGAACCTTAAGATGGGAGATGATTCTGGATTATCTGGGTGGGCAGATGTCATCACGACACTCCTTGTAGGATGGTCAGAGGAGTAGTCCAAGTCAGAGGGGGAGGTGGTGGGATGTTGGAACAGAAGATGGTGCACTGTGCTTTGAAGACAGAGGTAGGGGCTATAATCAAAGGAATACAGGAGGCCACTAGAAGCTGAAAAAAAGTCAAGGAAATGGATTCTCTTCTCAGCACCTCCAGAAAGAATCAGCCCTGACAACACCTTGATGTTAGCTCCGTGAAAGTGATTTCAGACTCCCAACTCTAGAACTATCAGAGAACAAATTTTTGTTATTTTAAACAACTAAGTCTGTGGTAATTTGTTACAGCCCTAATAAACTAACAGATAGGTTTGGAAAAAATCCCATGATGGTGATTAGTGAAACTTTGTAATAAAAATCTATGAGTGGTTCAAATGTGAATTATCTGCTCACAGGTCTCCTATTCTGATCCCAATTCAACCCCTCCTCCAAAAAATTTTCAATCCAGTCAGCAACCCAGGATTTGTCACTTTAGCTTGACCAAGATGGTATTCTTTTCGTCTTGGGTCATGTAAGATTAGTAGAACCCAAACTGAGTAAGAAATAAAGAAGTAGATTGTTTGTGGACACAAGCACAGAGGAAGGCTGAATGAAGATACAAGGAGAAGACTGCCATCCACAAGCCAAAGAGAGTCCTCAGAAGAAACCAACACTGCTGACACCTTGATCTTGAACTTCCAGCCTCCGGATCAGTGAGAAAATAAATTTCTGTTATTTAAGCAGCACAGAAAAAAAAGTACCCTGGGGAGCCCAAAGTACCCAGTCAATGGTACTTTTTTATGGCAATCCTGGTAAGCTAATATAAATATCTATCGAGGGGCACCTGGGTGGCTCAGTTGGTTAAGTGGCTGCCTTTGGCTCAGGTCATGATCCCAGAGTCCTGGGATCGAGCCCCACGTCTGGCTCCCTGCTCAGCGGAGAGCCTGTTTCTCCCTCTCCCTCTGCCTGCCACTCTGTCTACTTGTGCACTCTCTCTAGCTCTCTGTCAAGTAAATAAATAAAATCTTTAAAAATAAATAAATATCGAAAATTAACATTTATTAAATCATGAAACAATCAACTTTCCTCTAAATACCTCTATACTACTTATATAAGTAACAAATTAAAATGTAAGGATTTAAGAAATATTTTGTGTTGCAAACTTAACATTTTAAAACATTTAAAGTCACAAACACAATATATTAGTTTCCACTGTAAGAAGCAAAAAGAGAGTATGCAAAAATTACAAATTTGATAACAAAACTATTCTCAAGAATGATTATGTCACAGAAATAATGTTTTTCTTATTATTGCTCATATTCCCATTCTTACTAGCTTCCCAGGATCCAAGTTTGATTCATCATGGCTCCCTTCCTCCACCATCACCGTGTGTGTGTTTGTGTGTTCCTCGCCATGTCTCCTCACAAGACTTTCAGGATCAAGCAATTCCTGGCTAAGAAACAAACACAGAATCATCCCATTTCCCAGTGGATTCAGATGAAAACAGGTAAGGTACAACTCCCAAGAGGAGGGATTGGAGGAGACCCAAGCTGGGTCTGCAAGGGATCGATCACACATGAGATGACACACGTATTTATGCTGCGTGAAGATCCCCTGCTCACATCATATACTCTGTAAACTACATCACTACTACCTGAACAATAGTGCTTTATCAGCAAAGTGATTTTTCTCTGTTACACAATGCTTCTGCACCAGTAGGTTGGTTCAGTAATAAATCTGTGAGAACTTTTGTTTGAAAAAAAAATTTTTTTTTACTCATCTTGGGTTCTAGTAATCCTATGAAATTCCATGCACATAAGGTCTTCTGAATCTATGTTTCATTTTTTGTTAACTTGTCATTCATTACTTTTATTTATTTATATTTTGGCTTTGTGTTAGAAGATATTTCCTTCATTATTCTTCCACATCATTTAATTTTTTCTGGTAGTGCTTTTTCCCCCAGGTTTTCTACTGAATTTTAAGTTTGAAACCATGTATTCAGTTTCAGGAATTACTTTGTGCTCTCTAATTCTATCTCCCTGAGAGTTCTCATTACATTGCAGAAGAGCTCTTCTGTCTGTTCTGTTATTTCTGTATCAGTGTGAGTCATCTGTTCTAGTCGTTTACTCAGTATCCTTTCTTCAAACTGTTATGTTCTCTTAAATGGGCATAAGTTCCTTTAACATCAGAACACTCAATGAAAAGTAATGTAGGGGCATTTTTCTCTCTTAGACTAGCAAATTGGTTTATAAGCTAAGAGCTCTCATGTGAGGTGTGATAAGGATGGATATTCTGTTCTCAGGTGCTCCAGAGCTTTCTCTCTTCCATGTCTCACTCCTTCCACTCTCTCACATCAATTCCTAGGATAACCTTCAAATAAAATGTCTGGTCGCAAGTCCTTGTTGAATGGTCTGCTTTAGGGTAAACTCAAACTAAGATACTTACCACATATTAAATTGGATTCTGAGCAAGAAGTAATGGGGGAACATTTTTGGTTAAAAACAGTCTTCTCCAGCTTTCCTGAAACCATCCTGTCAAGGCAGCTGATGGGTCCATGCAGAGATGAGTCCATTGTTACCCCCGATTGTCTTCATAGTGAAATGAGCTGGGCTGGAGCTGACTCTGTTCCATGGCCCCTGTAGTGTATGGTCATATCATGTAATGCCTAAACTAGGATGCTTTTAAAAGTCCTCTCATAATTTTTATCATCACCTTTAAAATTGCAAGTAAAGGGCGCCTGGGTGGCTCAGTTGGTTAAGCGACTGCCTTCGGCTCAGGTCATGATCCTGGAGTCCCGGGATCGAGTCCCGCATCGGGCTCCCTGCTCGGCGAGGAGCCTGCTTCTCCCTCTGACCCTCCCCCCTCTCATGTACTCTCTCTCATTCTCGCTCTCTCAAATAAATAAATAAAATCTTTAAAAAAGAAAAAAAATAAATAAAATAAAATTGCAAGTAAAGCCAGATGATGTATCATATTTGTTAAGTCTACCTCAAGCTGCACATCTGCTAAAGTGACTGATTTCAGTAACAGGTTTAGATGGGTGGAAAGATCAAGCATTGATACCGCTTGGACAATAACAGTTAATTCACTTAAAGGACATAGAAGGAAGTCAACACGATTAAAATACATGGGCAATTTTCCAAAACAAACCAAGATGTGCAGCTTCCTGGTCCCAAATGCCTCCCCAGAGGATGTATGCAGATGATAATACCTGTTTAGTGAGGGTCCTATCAGATGCCCTGGAAGCAAAGAAATCTCAAGTATAGTCATACATACCTACATACAGACATACATACAATACTGGAATTTTCCTGCATGTAGCCCAGTCTAGGTATGCAAAGGGACACCCTTAACTGACTCAAGTGCACCTCATTAGTTGGGTGGTTAACATGTTGCAGAAAATGTAATTGCAAGGTACAGGGTCTTTAGGCATAAACAAAGCCCTCCTCCATCAGTCTCATGCTCTCTGGTCTAGTACAGCCTGAACCCAACCCTGAGGAAACACAGCAAGGCTCAGTTTCCCAACCCCTTCCCGGAGGCATTTGAGCAAGTAGTCAGGCCAACTGTGGGGCTTGGGTTGAATGGGTTTCCACAGCAGCCTGCATTTACCTTTGAAGCACTTACCATGAGTAGAAGTTAAGCTCCGTGAGGGCAGGCATTTTTATGTTTTGTGCATTGTTGTGTCCCTAGTGCCTAGAACAATGCCTGACACATGATAGAGCCTCAATAAATATTTGTCAATAAATAAGTGAATGAATTAGAGATTACATATCCAATGCCTCTCTCCTTCATAGGTCATAAGCTCCACAAAATGAGGGATCTTGTACCTGGGTCACTTCTGTCTCTAACACTGTACCTGCTTCATAAACGATGTTGTATAAATTTTGATAAGTTAGTGAATGTCTGCATGAATGACATTTGGTAAAATCATTCAGCTAAGATCGATGTAAAAATTACATATTCTTGTTTCAAGACATCCTTGAATATAAACCTCTTAGGCAAATAATCATTCAGTAATACATCCTCTCAGCTTCTAGGACCAAACGTTTTGCTTATCTCAACAATACACATTCAAAATACCCAATTCAGTCTCACCTTTCCAGAGAAAATTATTTTCTCTCTTGGATTATTCCAAAATATGTAGGAATATACATTTCCTCTCTGCCTCCTTCTTTTATAAATTGGTGTTGACTTTTAAATTTTTAATGGTAGTTTGAAATTTATAATGAAAATGAAAATACCGATAAGGTCTTTGGCTCTAGTAATAAGAAGTATTATAGATAACTCAAAGAATAAAGCTTTTCTACATTACATCAAAATTCATCTCTTGGAAAATGATACAACATGGCTGGCGGAGATGAAGGTAATTTATCAATTCATTTGGTCAATGCATATTTCATGATCATAACTTTTCCAAAATTAAGCATGAATACGTAACAACTTGGAGTACCTTAATGCTGAGCCTTATCGCTCGGGTGAGCCCCTTTTTATCAAACTAGAACTGTAAAAGTCCTTAACGTCATCTATCCTAAAGACATGACACATCAATGGCTTACTTTGTGTCATTTAATTTCATAATTCATCCTTTGTGAAAAATATTACCAAAAGTGTTTACCATAGAAGTGAGTGAAACTTAAAGAAAAAGAGAAATAATAAATTTAAAGAGAAAGTACTCAGAGGATGGGAGCCACTGATTCAAAAAGAATAGAGGAAGGATTTATAGAAACATAATGTTCAATCATTGAGTCTTGGTAAAAACTCATTCCGCATGTGTAAAGAAGTGGTTGAATGATTCACATAGAAATAGTCTGAGATATGAGCAAAGTTGGAAGTCACTCTGGAGGAAGACGGGCATTCCGGGGCAAGAGTATTACATCTCTAGATTGGAAGTGCCGTGGTGGTTTCATAGACAAAAGATAGAGTGTATTTCAACTGTTGTTGATGGCTTCCTCTGAAATAGTTTGCGTTGATGATCCTAGGTTTTTAACCACAGATAAGAGAATTAGGGAAAACCTCCAGTGATTATGCAATTCACTCCCCTATCTCTCACTTCTGAGACATCCTGTAGACACACAGTGCATATATTATGAGTATACATTTCAAAAGAGAAGGATGCTACAACCCCTCTTAGTAACCTGTAGGTGTATCCAACCTTTCTCTTGTCTTCATTCTCATTTCCAGAGGATTATGCTTCTAGAACATCTTTTGAATTCCTGCCCACCTTCTCCTTCCATTACCACGGACCTTGTCACCCTTCACAGAAACTATTCAGGTGACTTCCTAAATGGTATCCCTGTACCTGGGTCTTCCTCTCTTTAATACATCTTCCATCCTCCTGCTATTTACATTTCTCAGTGAATAGCAAATCACATGACCCCCTACTCACAAGTATTTTATTGCACACCACTGCTTATATTTTTTAAAGTCCCAGAATGCTTCATTCAGCCTTTGATCTGACCCAACCACTCTTCCAGCTTCACTGAGTAACCAGTCCCCACTCCTCACCATTCTGAAACAGGCAGTATTCCTTCAACACATGGCACTTATGTTTTCAAGGCATTACCACTCCTTCCACCAGAAAGACTCCCTTACCAAACCCTTCCTCTCTTCTTTGCTTGCAGAAATCTGACTGTTCTATTACAGCATCTTAAATGTCATCTTCTGTGTGAAGCTTTCTCAGGTCCCCATCCTCAAAAGGAACTGTTTGTTATTCCTTCTTGACAGCAATGACTCTTAGTTTGACTTCTATTAGAGCACTTAGCAATGTGAATTTAAATGAGACAAAGACTCTCAAACTCTTGGTTTGATTAAGGAATGCAACAAAATCATAAGTTTATTACCTTTTTATATATGAAGGGAGAAGAAGGACATTATGAAGCTCTTCATGCTTAGTGAAGAACTCTTGCATGCATTTATCCTTCTCAGAAAAGAGAGATCAATTTAAACATTTTTTCCTCAAGCAAGAAATTATTACATAAGTCACCCACTCAGAATTACCAAATTCTAGCAATTAAAAGGTTCTTTTCACAGGATATAGCAATAGACTCAGAAGTCTAGGTGTCTTTAAAAGACTTTTCTGTTGGGGCGCCTGGGTGGCTCAGTTGGTGGGGTGCCCGACTCTTGAATTCAGCTCGGGTCTTGATCTTGAGGTTCTTTGTTTGTTTGTTTGTTTGTTTAAAGATTTTGTTTATTTATCCGACAGAGAGAGAGAGACACAGCGAGAGAGGGAACACAAGCAGGGGGAGTGGGAGAGGGAGAAGCAGGCCTCCCACTGAACAGGAAGCCCGATGCGGGGCTCGATCCCAGGACCCTGGGATCATGACCTGAGCCGAAGGCAGACGCCCAACGACTGAGCCACCCAGGCGCCCCTATCTTGAGGTTCTTAAGATCAAGCCCCACGTCAGGCTCTGTGCTGGGCATGGAGGCTGCTTAAGATTCTCTCTCTCCCTCTCTCTCTATTCCCCCCTCCCCCAATTCATGCTCTCTCTCTCTCTAAAAAAAAAAATGATTAAAAGACTTTTCTGTTAAACCAAAGAAGATTAGAATAAGATTATATAGTTTTTATACAAGTCTTCGCATTGGATAAGAGAATAAGAGCGACAATTTTGTGAATGGACTGAATTCTCTCCTTGATCAGAACTGGCTTTACAATATGGGATGATATGTGCTCTTCTGCAGATCTAAGGGAATATTTTCTTCTCTTTC